AGGGGAGAGAGAGAGAGAGAGAGAGAGAGAGAGAGAGAGAGAGAAAGGCTGTCAGAAGTAACTCACAACTGTATGGATATCATCAAGCAGTGAGCAAATTCAGAATGTGGCAGTGACTTCAGTTGATACAAAAAAAGACTCTTGGATTTCATTCTTTGAAATTCAAAGAAAGTATCAATGGAAATCTTAAGTGCAAAAGACTAAGAATTGGAACTAGATGTTCCATTTCTTCAAAAGCATACTCAGTGCAACTATAATGTATACTCATAATAAAACAAATTATAACACCTCATAATATTTGACCATCTCCACAGGATATACTGTTTTTCCCTCAAGAGCATAAGTGAAGGAAAAAGTTGCCATTTTACCCAAAGTTGAAACTAGTCTTACCTTCTGTTATACAGGTATAAGTTTACCTAGACAACTAAACTCACTAAGATAATACTGTAAACTACTTGCATTGACTTACGTATAACCTCCATTTCAGTGCTTGCAAATTTTGTGTTAATTAGTATTGGCTGGCAAAATTACATATATCCATTGATCTCACATGATAAGCTTCACCCTCACAACCAGGGCAAAATAGTGCCAAGTGGTTCCAGTAGCAGACCCAATTATATTTTTCAGGCAAATTCTGAGAAGGAAAATTCTTATAAAGAAATATATTGAACTACTAAAAGCTCAAGAACATTTCTTAATTAAAATGTCATTGCTGAAAAATTCAATTATGCTTTAATGTTTACTCAGCTGGATATATTGACATATAGAGATGTATTTCAACATGATGGCAATGTTGAATGGTCTAGAATTTTAATATGCAGAACTTATTAGTTATAATAGAAAATTATGGAGAGGCAGATCAGCAAAGGTCCATGTAACCTGGGTCATGAGTGAAGTTCTTAAGTGCAAAAACACAAAGATAAAATTACCTGAGGTCTGTATTGTACTTATAATTGAAAGAGAAAAAGGCCTGAGAGGAAGACATAATAGCAAACATTCTAATATTCATGCCTATTAAAATCAATTGGTACATGAACCCAATGCTGTTGGAAAGTCAAACCTGCTGTGCGGAGGTGAGATGTACATGTAAAACTGGTAACTTCAGCCACTTTGTGTTTTCAGGGAAAGCACGGCTTGTTACCTACGAGGGAAGTACGTGTTGCGGAGGATGAGGATGGGGGTGGCATCACTGTTGCTAGTCATGACAGTGGTCAGACTACATGCACATATGTTGTTTGCAATCTTCATACCAGATCTCTGGAGGATAGATACACAGAGGAGTCGCCAAGGAGATAGAACCTTGTCTATTACAAGGTAACATTTTGTGTTCAAATCTCTCCAGGACCTCCTTCCCATAAATGTACCTAGTAACTCCAGGTTTTCCTTGTCTCTTTACCACAGCTTCTATTCCAGAACAGGTTAAAATAGCCCGTGTCATTGTTCCTTTTGCCCACCATCACCATTCATGTTTTCCATTGGACCTTTGCGTGTCTCCCACTTGGCCTTCCTAGAGCTGGAGATACTGGATGACCTATCACATCAACAGCTCTAAAATCTTATTGTCTGGAATCTGAGCACGTGCTGATTCTTGAACCCATCACCGAGGCTGGTAGAATGGAATGGGTGGAATGGCTTGAAGAAAAGGTCCACTCCTGACCCTGAGGGAATCATGAAAGACCCTAGAGGCAAACATTTATATGATTTAGGAAAAGGAGAACAGGGACCAGCTTTGTAGTGCAGTGGGTTAAGCCTTCCTTTGTGATGCCAGCATCCCATATCAGATGGCCAGTTTGAGTCCAGGCTATTCTGTTTCCAATCCACCTCTCTGCTAACATGCCTTGGAAGGTGGTAGAAGATGGCTCTAGTACCTGGGTCCCTGCCACCCACATGAGAGACCAAGATGTAGTTCACAGCTTCTGGAATGGCCCTGGCCAGACCTGGGTGTTGCAGCCATTTGGGGAATGGATCAAAGGATAAAAGATTTCTCTCTCTCTCTCTCTCTCTCTCTCTCTTTCTCTCTCACTTCTCCCTCTCTCCTTTCAACATCACTCTAACTTTAAGTAAAAAAAAAATATTTTTTTTTAAAGAGATGAGTATAAATGAAGTAGATGGGGATGGGCAGATAGCAAATATACATGTAACACAAATGTGCTTGAACTACTGGTTTTCAGTTGTTGTTGGCTTTTAATTTCTTTTTTGGAAAAAAAATTAAGGAATAACTTTGATTTCTACATTGGACAAAATTGTCAAAGGAAATTAGAAAAATGTTTCCATGTCCCATTGGTAACATCAGGTCTTTTTAGCATGTATTAATGAAGCCAACTCCTTGTTTCTCTTCAACGATTTCCCTGGGTGTCTGATAAATCAAAGCAATTTCTCTGACTTGGATAAAAATAGATTTTCTTTTATTTGTTTTAAGACTTCCTAGAATAATTCACTTTGCTACCATCATTCTGTTGCACTTGCAAAATGTTCTGTGACACTACTAAGGTAAATTTATTGAGGCTCTCAATTTTAATTAGTTTTTTTCTCATATTTTCTCTGAAAAGTTAATCCCCTTTTAATGAAATTGTAAAATATAAGCAAATCTTACATGACACTTTTATCACCTGCTCATTTGAGATCAAAAGTCTGACTGTACTGCCTTCTAAAATTATATGAAATTTTAAGTGCATATTAAAATGGTAATTTTTTATCTCAGATCAATTGCTGAGCTTTAATTTATTTGAACAAAATAAAACAATGCAGATAATGGTTTAGTGCTGTATTTCAACATGTTTTATAGTTCTAAGATATTATTATAGTGATTTTATCATGGTTTGAAGGATAGTAGGAAGTAGATTCTTAACTTGAAAACTTAATATGTCTAAACTTTCCATCAGAAAATAATCTACCAAACAACTTCTCCATAGTGAAAAGGGGATTTACTTTCATATCTCTCTCAAGTTTTATGATGTAAAACAGTACTCACTGTTACATTTGGATGATTGTACATTTGGATGATTGTAAAGATCCAGTGCATGCGTGAGTTTGCCAGGCTAATAGTGTTATTACTCGAGCTCAATGACAAAGAAAATATTTGTACTCTAATCTCTCTTCTATATTTTCCAACCAGATATTATATATTCAAGACCTGCAATAGCATTTTGGGCACCAGGAACAGTGCAGTTGTATCCTCCATTTACTTTGGGCACCCAGTTTATATTGTTTTAGCTTTTTTCTTTATTTATGATCAAAGTATGGGCTCACTTTGTAGACTTAGGCTGACAATTTACAACCAGCTCATGAATGCCCCTTGTCTTGTGATTTACAATGGGCCTCCTACTTGCTGTCGGTGACCTCCTTCTCCTCCATCCCCATTCACTGCTCATCTCAGACAACCAGTTGAAATTCATTAGCTTAGGTACCTGTTTAAAAAGGCAAGTCAGCACTCACACAATGTCTCCATTAACTCCCATTTCTTGATGCACTGGCATTAAAGGAGTAGAAGAGACTTGGAATGGTTTGGCCTGAGAACTGCTTATAATGTAACTCAACTTGTTTGATAAAACAAAACTAGTTTTGGTAATGAAATTAATTGAAAAAAGCCAGCCTTGCCACCAGAAGAGAAGAACCTTGAGAAGAAAGACAGTTTCTAAAGGTCAATACACAGCACGCTGTAATCTTTACCATCTGTGTTCAGGCTGGTAAGAGTCTGAGACTGTCATATGCAGTCTTTTCTCTGAAAATAACAGACAAGTCTTGCCCAACAGGGAGCCTGGATGTCCTTAGCTGGGCAGAAAATGAAAACACTCCCAGTATAAACTTAGGATGACCCTTCATTTTCCTTCCCCTTGACTTGCATAGGTCCACAGACAGTTTCAGAAAAGTAGTGCCACAGCAAATTGGAATAATTCAGTCACCACTGCAATGTAAAGTTATCTTTACAAGGTGGAACACCAGGGGCTCGATTCAATGAGAACACTCGCCCTTGTCAGAGCCTGTATTCTGGGGAGGCCTGGCTAATAAGTCCTCCATTTTTTCCAAGGGAAAATTTCTTACAGTAGTGAGTGGAAAAATGGACGTGGTTTCTCCTTATCTGAAGGTCTGGCAGATTTATTATAAATCCAGAATGCTATGATCATGTCTTTATGAAAGCATTTTTTCTTGGTGGAACAACATTTAGAGGTCTGATGTTCTATAGACGTTTTTAGATTTTTGGCAAATATACTGAATGATAATTCTGTATACTGTTATTTCTTGAATCAGTGGTGTTTTTTTATATAAATGGAAAATGATTGAAAAAGAAGAAACTGTGTATAATATTTACATACATCTCTATGTATGTTTATACATTTACATATACATTTCATGTATGCTTTTATTTATCAGATAATGTGCCATATGTAAAGTTTAAGTGATTTCACTGAAATTGCATGTATTTTGATTAATAAAAGAAAGAATAAAGTACCCCCATCTCCAACAATTATAGCAAAATATATTCAGTACTATTCCTGGAATATAAATTTCCATTTTTCTAAACATCCAATGCTTATGAGATTTCTCTGCTCTAATTCTAACTTTTTCTGTGGTAATACCTCCTTCGATATATTCCCTCCTCAGAAGGACTGATTTTTATTATTTCATTTATACTCACAACATCAAAGAGATTCACATACACACATATGATTGCAAAAACCCGCGACGCTTATGTGCGTCTTAGAATAAAACATCTTGGTTGTGTGCACTGGTACTATTTCAACCAAATAGGAGTGGCAGACTTTTACAAAGTGAGCTAATAGAACTTCATAGATAATGCTGGAGGTTAACTGATCTGTTTTTCTCTTCTGTGATTTCCTTGCTTTATTTTAAAAACATGAAATAGGAGTTTATAGTCTCCGCAGCATTCGTCACTGCTTCTACAGCCTCCCAGGAAAACAGGATCCATAAAATCGTGGACATAAAAAATAATAACACTTTCCAAATGCTAGTTAATAAAATGCTCCACCTCTTTAGGAGAAAGAGATATTTTATTTGTATTCATTAGGGTGACCTAACCACTCGCTAGTACAGTTTATTATACCTCTCCTGTGTGATGTAATGGCTTGAGCACATGAAAATAAAGCATGCTGATTGTATTGCTTTTCTCTCTCCACATATGTAAAACACAGGTGCCCTTTGTCTCTTCCTTTCCAGTGCTTCCCTTTTGATTTCCGCCTCTTCCTCCAGTCTCCTCCCCTCTCCCCCTTCCTCCTCCTTGCTCTGCTCACCAAGGACTCTTCTGAACAGCAATTCCCGTTTATTTTCTGAAGCAATCTTGCTGGTTACAGCCCCTGTGAGATTACAAGAATGAGTTAGGTTTATATTCCTGTTGTCATTTTGACATCGTGAGTTACTTATTGCTCACCTCAACTGGTTTATGTTGACCTAAAGACCTTTTCTTTTTGTAAGAGTGTATTGTTTTATAACTAGTAAGTAAAGAAGAAATAACCGTAACTAATGAAACTGGAAACAAAGAATGAATATCTGATTCCAGGAAAACTGAAATAGAGAGAGAAAGAAGCTGTTTACACATATGCTGCAAAATAAACGTCTCTTTCCCTCAGTTTTGGGGGAAGGAGTGTTGCCGTTAAAATATGATACTGCTCTGAGCCTATTGTGTTGAACATTTTTTGTCACTGTCAATCACTTTGCAACCTACAGGGCAATAAGTCTCCATAATAACTGCCAACTCTAGTCAATATATTTGCATCATTTTACTTTAGAGGTTTATGAAATGCAAATGAAAAGTCTACTAATAATGCTTCTTATTTAATTAGTTCTGCTTGATAGATATTCTTTTTTCTTCAGCAAAATCTTAAAAGTAAGAATTCCAATCCAAGCCTGATGTGGTCATTGGCCCAGTCTTTGTCTTGAAGTCCCATTGCTTTGAATCAGTGGTTAAGAAGACAGGAGTATGACATGAGAAATGATTCTTTTTCCTAAAAGAAGGAGAACTATCCAGAAATCTATCACTCAATGTACTACTGAAAACCCAGAGGATAATATATTCTCATCAGCTTTTTAAAGCAACTTTAGGGGATGGCATTGTGGCATAGCTGGTTAAACCACCAACTGCATCTCATATAGGAACTGGTTCAACTCCTGGCTGCTCCACTTTTGAGCTAGCTCCCGGTTAATGTGCCTGGGAAATCAGCAAAAGATGGATCAAGGGCTTGGACCCCTGCACCCATGTGGGAGATTCAGAAGAAGCTCCAGGCTCCTGGCTTCAGCCTGCCCCAGTCCTGGCTGTTGCAGCCATTTAGGGAGTGAACCAGAGGAGGAAGACCTCTCTGCTTTTCCCCACCCCACCATGTAACGCTGCCTTTTGAATAATTATAAAAATCTTTAAAAGATCATTTTTAACAGTGTCTTCTGCAAATGGATGTTGTGTTTCCCTATGAAGTCACAGCCATCCACCATGAATGTCTTGCTCTGTTACTCTATTGAATCTATGTGTATGTTTATCCAGCACCCCCCATCTTGGAAAAAGGCTGCTCTCTCACTCCATAGAAATTCTGCTTATGCTTGCATATATTATAGGTAATTGACAAAGGTCTGGCTGATCAGAATATCCCATTACCCCATGCATAGTTGTAGAGAGAAGCTGCGCAGCTGGTTGGTTGTAGACCCCAGGATTATTATCTAGGATCTTCCTTGAATTCTAGAAGGAATATCATTCCTTACCAGCTTCCTGTATTTTTTTTTTCTTTGCACAGAATAGGACCTTGTATCAGTATTGTCAAAAAGCTGAGGGAGTTGGATCACACTTCAAGAAATGTGGTTTAAGCCCTGAAGATCATAGACAATCATGAGCAACATACATTACACGTATGTGACTTTAAAAAGCCTTTTTTATAGAACATCCCAACATATTTCATGTCTTTGGACAAATGTAGTGGCATCCTTCCATTTTCCTTTTTCTTTTATAACCCTTTTATAGATACAGATTTCACTTGAAACCAAAAAAAAAAAAAAAAAGACTTTCTAAAAAAATTAAGCTGCTCTTCTAGAACAAACTAGAATTTTTAGTTATTTTTTATTTTTTTGCTAGACTTCCTCACACTCCAGTACTCTACTTGAGTCTCAAAACCATGCTATACAAACCTGTGTCTTTGCAGGAAAAGGAAAGCATTCAAAAAAATTAAGACATTGAATGACTAAACGTGTAATAGGCATCCCTTTAGGCGCAATCATTCCTTGTAATATAAAGCTCCATGTCATCAGTATCATTGAGATTATAATTTTTTTAAGATTTAATTATTTATTTGAAAGGCAGAGTTATAGAAACAAAGAGGTAGGGGGAGAGAGAGGTTAACTCCCCAAATGGCCGCAACGGCCAGAGCTGGGCTGATCCAAAGCCAGGAACTGGAGCTTCTTTCGGGTCTCCCATGAGGATGCAGGGGCCTAAGCACGTGAGCTATCTTCTACTGTTTTCCCAGTTCATAGCAGAGAGCTAGATCAGAAATGGAGCAGCTGGGACTCAAACTGGTGCCCATATGGAATGCCGATACTGCAGGCAGTGGCTTTACCCGCTACGCCACAGCACAGGCCCCAAGATGATCATTTTCATTAATATGATTATATGGAAATGAGTGGGTAGATGAATAGATGGATAGACATATGGGTGACTGAATGTAGATATGTATTGATGAATGATATAATAGTTGCAATAGATGGTAATGCCACAATGGAGGATAAGATTGATGTGCCAGCGACATTGGAGTCAGTCCCTAAAAAAAAGAAGTTGATTTAAGAGAAAAGTAAAAATAGCAGACATGGAATCAGGAATACCTTTCATCTGCTTCCCCTTTGTTGAGGGATGCATCTGTCACAACCAATTTCCTCCTTGACTTGTATTAAATAGATATTGCTACTGCTGAAAATAAGGGTGGACCCATTTTGGGCATTAAGATACTGCCACCCACATCCATATGTGCTAATTTTTTCCCTGCCAACACATGTCTTTTGAATCTTGTGGGCTTTGTGCTAAAGTAAAAATCAGGCAGGATATTCAAGGAATGTAGAAAAAATATTCAGAAACTCGCGGGCTTGTGACTTCTCACAGGAAGTTTTGGTTTCTGCTTTCAAATAAACCTGTTCAGGTGCTGCTTAGAGGCTTACAGATTAGGAAAAGCAATTCAAAATACAGCAATTGCTTTTGTAATTAAGAGTGTGACTTTCTGTTAGAAAATTCCTAAACTTTTAGCAGAACAGTAGGCAAACTACAGGAAGTATCTCGGCGCTCGAATTATTCAGAGAACACAAGAGTCTAAATAGGTTACTTCAGAGTCAGGGAGGATCACACAAAGCAAAACTGAAACCTCTAGATCACACCTAAACCCTCAGGGTAAGTAGGAACAAAGCACAGACTATATTTTTCTATGGCATCTGGGTGTAAACCTTTTTTCTCTCTTCGCCAGAAACCATATTGTTTATAGGCATGTTTTACTGGAAATCTGCTGCTTCTCACAATGTATCGTGCACAACTATCTTAGTAAAACCACATCTGGAAATGACAAGCACACAGTTGTAAATCTGAAGTCAGTGTGTTGTTGTAATAGCTCGCAGCCACAATATGGCTGTCATGCAGAATGCCAAAGAGAGTTGCAAAGACAGAGGCCAGCTGTAGCTACTGAACTGGATGTTATTTTTCTGAAAGGATAGGACGAGGTTTAATAAGAGGCTTATAATGTCTCCTGTCAAAATACCTAATATACTGGGGTGGCATTGAACTGATTGTCTCTTGGACAAATCAATTATTTCAGAAACCTTGGCAACCAACTTCAATTGACCAAGTGTGATTCATTGTGTGGTATGAAAACGGGTAGAAATCCACTGAATTGTAGCCTTCTAGAGTCAGGCTGGGTCCTAGGGGCCATCTAAATTGAATGTCTTCTGCAATAATGAACCTGCCTTCAGAGAGTCTCAGAATGCCATCTTCCACTATCATCTTGAACATCCCAGCTGTTGTCAGTCCTGGAGGACTGATGTGCTCCCCAGGAAGATTCCAAACAAGCTAAGCCTGAATTTTCCCCAATGTTGTGGTTTGAACGTGTTCTTTCCGAAATGTGGACGTGTGATACAAGGTGGAAATGTTAACGCCGATGTGATACACGAAGAGGTGGGGCCTGTAAGAGGTGATTAGGTCATGAGGGCTCCTCCATCAGGAATGTGATCAGGGCCCTCGTAAACTGCTTCTCCCAACAAGCAGGTATTTTCCCCTTCCATGCCTTCTCTTATGTAAGGACTCATTTTTCTCTTCTGGATGATGCAGCAGCAAAGCACTGTCTTGGGCCCCTCACGAGACACCAACCTGCGGGCACCTAATTTTGGACTTCCAACCCTCGAGAACTGTGAAATACAAACTTCTGTTGTTTTACGTGTGTGTATGTGTGTGTTTGCGCACGTGTGCGTTTAATCTGTTTGAAAGGCAGAGAGACAGAGAGAGAGGGAGGGAGAGAAAGAGATAGGCAAACAAAGAGATCCCCTATCCACTGGTTCATTTCCCAATTCTTGCAATGGCTAGAGTTTGGTTAGGCTGCTGCTGGGGCCCAGGAATTCAGTCCCAGGTTCTGGGTCTCCATGTGGGTGGCAAGTTTAAAATCACTTGAGCTGTCACCCTCCCAGGATACACATTATCAGGAAGCTGAAATCATGAGTAGAGCTGGAACTCAAACCCAGGCACACTGATTTAGGATGTGGGTGTCCCAAGTGGCATCATAAATCACTGTACAAAACACCTGACCAATCAAGGCAAATCCTTATTTTTATTATTCAAATCATGATTAGATACTAGTATAGACACTGTGTGTGTGTGTGTGTGTGTGTGTGTGTGTGTGTGTGGTTTGCCTTTTAAAATGACTTATATGCATGGTAATATCTCTAAGCCTATGTCTATCAACAGGTGCATATACTCTGTTCCTAGCATATTCTTTATACCTTCTTTTCTCTCTCTCAGAGGAATAGTGACAAAAACCACAATGTGACCTAACTACATTTTCCTGTGGCTCCCATTCCACCTTATTCTCATTTCCATGGAGACATCTCTCTCCCATTATTAATGCTTTCTCTTTTATTTTCACCATTTGAATTTCTTTTTTTAAAAAAGTCTTTTCTCCTTGCTTTCAGTCTTGTATAAATCCTTCCTACATGATAGAATTTTCAAATGAATTATATAGGCTAGTGAATCTACCAGAGTTAGGAAAATAAAGTCAGCTTGTCTAACTAGTGCTCTTGTGAAATCTGTGGGGTTTAGGCAACATCTTTGATTCCTCAGAATTCCCAATTTCAAAAAGAAATCCCAGTCATACAAGGCCCTCCATCAGCATCTATCAAGCAAATTAATGGAAACAGGAAGTAAATCAGTTTAAAAAAAAAGTATAAGGGCAGGCATTGATCTGATAAATAAGACATCAGTTAGAACGCCCGCACACTTTATTGAAATGCCTGCATTTGATGACCGGCTCTTACTCCTGAATCCAGTTTCCTGCTAATTCAGGCCCTGGAAAGCAGTGGTGATGACTCAACTAGTTGGGTTCCTGCACCAGTCATGAGAAACCTGGATTGAGTTCCTGGCTCCTGGCTCCTGGCTCTCTGACCACTGCACACATTTAGGAAGTGACCCAGCAGCTGAGATCTCTGCTCCCACTGAATCTCAAATAAGTAAGATGAACATTTATACACACTAGCTGCCTCCTCTAACTCACATCACAATTTCCTTGCTGTTTCTTTTCTACACACCAGATGCCTCAACAATCGCAATCATCTGCTTTACACCAAGTCATCATTCCAACAGCTTTTTCCTCGTATTCATTTTCCTATTCTTAGTATAAATTTAAACATGTAATCCCAATTGCCAGCATCATGCCCTCAACACACACCCACACACACACACACACACACACACACATCTCTTTTATGGCTCTCATGATGGGAAATCAGCATACGTCTTATCCAGGCTCTGTCTGATTGTATCTTGGTCTCCTTCACTGTCTCTAATTTTTCCAATATAGATTTTCTCCTTGATTACACCTTTCCTAGGTAGCAGACCTGGACTTGTGCCATGTCACATCTTAGTGATATCATAGTATTGCCTTCTGGAGAGGGAGAAAAAAGAGTGAGCAGGAAGAGAGGGAAGGATGGAAAGATTTAGGTAGGAGTTTCTAGTTAGAAATTATCCTTCTAATTGATTCTACAACTTCTTCCTCTCCTCTCTCTACCCTTTGCTTCTCAAAGTGTAACTTCAATACAACCTATGTCAAAATTACTTTAAAATATTGGTAGCCAGGACCTACTAAAATAGACTTCCAGGGATGAGACTTTCAGAATCTACATTCTTTAGAATCAGCCCTTAAGGCATTTGGATCTGGCTAAAAAGCCCATGAGAGTTTCACAGGCATGGAAAGCCAGGACACTGTGGCAAAAAAAAAAAAAAAAAAAAAAAAAAAAAAAAAAAAAAAAAAAAAAAAAAAAAAAAAAACAAAAAAAAAAACAAACCACCATGAAAGATCTCTGTGAGTGAGATCCCAGCGGGAAAAACAGGCCATCAAAGAAGGCAGTACCTTTCTCTGAAGGGAGGAGAGAACTTCCACTATGATTATGGCCTTGTCTAAACAAGATCGGAGTTGGTGAACTCAGGAGGCTTCCATAACCTTGACAGCTCATGACAAGAGCCTCGGGTGATTACTGACGTCATATATAAGAGTGTCAATTGTTAAATCAACAACGTGAGTCACTGTGCACCTGTTCTCCATGTAAGACCTCTGTCCTTAATGCGTTGTACTGTGCGAATTAATGGTAAAACTACTACCCAAACAGTACTCTATACTTTGTGTGTCTTTGTGGGTGCAGTCTGTTGAAATCTTTACTTAGTATATACTAAGTAGATCTTCTGTATATAAAGATAATTGAAAATGAATCGTGATGAAGAATGGGATGGGAGAGGGTGTGGGAGATGGGATGGTTGAGGGTGGGAGGGAGGTTTTTTTTGGGGGGGGAGCTGCTATAATCCAAAAGTTGTACTTTGGAAATTTATATTTATTAAATAAAACTTTAAAAACCAGTGATTTCTCATATGATTCTGGTGTCAAGTTAGGTTGCTGGGAGCACCGAACCATATGACACCATATAGAAATGAATAAATTCAAGAAACAATGGGAGAATAAAGGATCAGAAAGTATCCAATCAAAAGTTAGGGCAGCTGTGTCATTCACTGTGGCCTGCAAAATCTACTGCAGCCCTCTCCTCTCCCCATCAAACAAGAGTCCTGTGTTGTGTTTGACTACCTTCTAGGCTGAACACTATTAGCTACCAACTTTTGCCATGCACTAGTACCTCATCCTATATGAGATGACTGTAGCAAGAAGTTCTCTGTGAAGTGGATAACTTTTTTCAACTTTTCAGAAAGTTAATTTGGGTAAGCACAGATCCAACCAAATTATATGATTCCTGAAGTGCTAGTATTTCTAATTAATTCAAAATGCTATGCCTCTATTTTCACATTTATCATCTTACCTTTAACTACTAAATTTTTACATTTTGAATGCAAGTAATTATTTTTGAAGGAAATATAATTGTAAAATTATGTGTCTTAGCAATAAACATACAATTGCTACAAAGAATAACTTAAGGGAGGGGATAATTGTAGATACTTGGTATACAATATGCTTTACTTATAAAGTATTAACCTTTAATCATGGAACTAGTTAATATCCACTAACAAAATTAATGATATTGCTATATAACTATAACTGTAGAATGGAAAGAGCATGATTAATTAACAATCAATGCTGTGCTAATTGATATTTTTTGTTGACATACCTGTTAATTTTTCTCTGTGACTCTTTTGAAAAACATTGGGTCCAGTTCTCTCTCACTCCTTGGTTGCATTTCTTCTTGCATTTTGCAGTGCATTTCTCTGGAGGGATCATGCTGTGGTCTATCCCCTATGCATGAGGAAGGGAAGGGTGAACACTGCCAACAGATATGAGTAAGAAATGCCTTCAAAACCACAACATGGGTAAACCCTACAGTGTACTTATCTGACCCTTAAAATAGATTAACCCATAACATTTTACAACTAATAACCAAGCTCATTAGCCCTGGAGACTTACAGTCCTCTGATTTGCTTTTCTTTTTCTTTTTTCTTTTCCCCCTTCCAAACCAATGCTCTTTGAGTGGCTCCTCAAGGGATAGGTGAGATGATACACTAGGAAATGAAAGTGTGAAGTCTATCAGTGACTGGTAATGCTACAAGCCTGAGATTTCTCATTTGTGGTTCAACTTTGTTTACATTTGAGCTGTTGACACTCTCATTCTGAAACTTCAGAGTCTTGTTTAAGTAGGTGCCCTTTGCCCTCTGTCCTCTTTGGGAAAGTTTTGTTACCATCTCTACTTCTTTTCTCTACTTTCACTAGTTTATTGATGTTTCAGCTTCTAATCTAGTGTTTGGAATATACAGAAAATTTTAATGAGAAAACTGATTCATAACATCATAACAATCATAAAGTCATCACCAGATGTGTCCACTGTTAGCATCTTGAGTACTTCCATTTGGTCCTTTCGCTTTTCTGCCTTTTCAGGGTTGAAACCATACAGTGTATTTCAAATTTTTAAAATATTTCTCTATATTTTATGATACACATTTCATATTTAATAAAAATTAATATTTTGATGATTTCATGATAATCTATAAAATGACAATATCATGCTTTATTGCAATATTTTTCTCAATGGGGAATTTTAGACTTTTTCCAAGGGTATGAATAGCGTATATCTGAAAGTTGAACATGTAGGAAAATACGTGTTTACACGTGTTTAGCTAGTTTATTTTCCTACGACAAAATTGTTGAGAGGCTCAATAAGTGTAAGTACTGGGGCCATCATTGTGGAGTGGCGGGTAAAGCCGCTGCCTACTATGCCACCATCCCATATTGATCCTGTTTGTGTCCTGGCTGCTCCATTTCTGATCCAACACTCTGCTAATAGCCTGGGAGAAGCAGCAGAACATGGCTCAGGTGTTTGGGCCCCTGCCACCCACATGTGAGACCCAGAGGAAGCTCCTGGCTTTTGACTTCAGCCTGGGTCAGTTCCAGCCATTGTAACCATCTGGGGAGTGAACCAAGGGATGGAAGATCTCTCTCTCTCTCCTTCTATAGCTTTATCAAATAAATAAATCTTCCTGTAAAAGTTTAAGTATTTTCATGGTTCCTGATACACATAAAAGATTTTTTAAAATGTTATGGAAAATGAGTATTATGAAAAAACTTTTGCATGGATTTCAAAGTTTTGAACCAAGTAAACTTAGCTTCTAATTCAATTTTCAAACTCAAGTGTGCTTGTATGACTCCTGCCGTTTTCAAGACTTTATGTCTGACATGGCTCCACATTAGTGTGCCCTCATGCAGTCAGTATTTATTTAGGAGAATTGTTAGCTAAAGATAATGGAAAGTAATTGAAGGGAAATTTAAACAGAAGGCGTTTTTTCTTGAACCTTATGTTTTGATCAATTATTTTTTCCAAAGATTCATTTGTTTGAATGGCAGAGTGAGGAGGGGGGGAGACAAAGTGAGATAGTAGACCTATAGTTTCAGTAACTTTTGAACTATTAATTATTTTATCAAGTTTTAAAACTGTTCTATGATGAAACAATATTATAGTATGCCACAAATCTATGCATATGTTCTATATTGGCTGAACTACCCAAAGAAGCCAAATTTTTTAAAAGCCTCTGTGTTTGGGAGACTTGTTTTCTTTAAATGTCTGTGAAAGGTAAATTCTTCTATTTAGAACAAAAAAGAGAGAGAAAAAGATCTTTCACCCACTGGTTGGGTTCCCATTAGTCCAAAACCAAGCACCAGGAACTGAGTTTCTAACAGGCGTGGCAGGAATCCAAGCACTTGAACCACCAACTGCTTCCTCCAGATTCATTAGCATGAAGCTGGATTGGAAGCACAGAGCAACCAGGACTCACACTGGCCCTTTGAAATGGGAGTTGAGCATTTTAAGCAGTGGTTTAACCCACTGCACCATAATGCCCATCCCCAAGAAATTATTTTGCATTTGATTAAATTGTATGTGAATTTTTTTTTAATTTGGATTTTCTGACTGAAGAACATGTCAGCTCATTCAATTTTGCATTAGAAACAGTCTCCAGGCCCTCACATCTACTTTCTTTTCTGCTTCTTAAGTGGACACAGACTCTCTTCCTTTGTTCTGATACAAACATTCATGGGGCCTGGACAAAAGATATGCAGTCTTCCTTTTCCTTCCTGCTATTTGTTTCACTTTTATCTGTAACACAAAAGAGATTATCCTGCTATTCTTTAAACCTTTGTGTGCTCTCAAATTCATTCTGTCCTTCAGGTTCCTCTTTTTTTATATTTTCTTTACTTATTTTAACTTATTTGAAAGGCAAAGAGAGAGAGAGAGAAAGAGAGAGAGAGGAGGGAGAGAATCTTCCACCTGGTGCTTCACTCCCCAAGTGTCCACAACACTGCAACACTCACAGTTGGGCCAGGCCAAAGCCAACAGACAGGAACTCAATTCAGGTCTCAGATTGGTGGCAGGGACTTGAGCCATTGCCTGCTGTCTCCCAGGGTGCACATTAGCTAGAAGCTGGAATTGGAAATGGAGTCAAGGCATGAACCCAGGTAGTGTGATTCAGGTTGCAGGTGTCCCAAGCAGCATCTTGACTTGTGTGACAAACACCCGCCCCCCAGATTCTTCTCCAAGTTGCTTAAATTCTCAGATCTCATACTAAGGACACTTCTGGGTGACACTTGTTTCTTCAGGTTACTAGTTTCACCCGAACTGTGGCTGAGAATGACATTCTCAGAGGGGTTCCCACGTCACTGTTCCACAGTCTTGCAGGGGGATGTTTAAGCCACGTTAACGCGTTGCGTGTTGTTCCCCATCTGACACGGTTCCCTGTCTGTTTTCTTTGTGGAGCATGGCTGAGCCCCTCAGCTGAAGTTCCGTCTTGTAAGCAGAGCTGCAAAGCTGAGGCACCACACTACTATTTCCGCGGTGCCCCCCTGGGAAATGGCATCTTAACCCATGGTCCCAAGTTTTCAATTCTGTGCATATTTGAATGACATAATATTTTTCTCAAAGTTGCCATAAGTGATATATTTATTACTCAATTTAAGTCTTTACGAGTGGCCTATAAATTGGATGGTGGGGCCGTGGCTGTTCCAAACCTGCTGGGTTTTGTGTGTCTGACTGGGCATCAGAAGGCAATGAGAGAAGAGTGTAAAACATCAGTCCCTTTATGTTTGCACTAAGGAAAATAACATTTGGCTAATGCAACTGTACCTCAAGCTACGTTTCTTAGGTATGTTTAGAATAGAAGAGCCAGAGCCACTAGTGTTCTGCTGGGCAGCTTCACCAGTCTTCCTTGCAGATGACAAACTGCTGGAATGTAAGGCATTTGGCTTTTTACAAATGCTTTTACTTGAGTTGGAAGCCGTGATCTATGTTTCAGGTCAAAGGCAAGAACACACTTTCCCCTATCTGTTTCCTGTCTCCAAGCGATCAATCATTTGTGTCCCAAGGGAACTGTCCTTCTTGGGCATGTGGCCTGTTTTCCATTGGCTTCTATTATCTTTTGCTAATTAGATTACAGCCAGTATTTACCTTGCTCTGTGGCTTTGAGCCTGTCCCTGCAGTGTTTTTATGTTATCTTTACAAATGCTGCGCATCAGGCTTTACCCTGGCCTGTTACAGTAAACCAGGCGAAGTGGGGAACTTGACACTCACATATGATTGGTTTTGGGTGGAAAGTGAGAGGGGAAAAGATAAAATTCAATTCATCTTACTTTACATACAGACAGATCTGATTCACCTTTGAAGGTATGTGCTTCAGAGATTTTAAAGATTTTGTCGCCTCGGGACTATTTTAGGTTTTAACATGTAACTTTCACTTTGGATTTCTGTGTTGCTTATACCTAATGAAAATGTGCTCTCTGACATTGGATCATGCCATGTCCCACTGTGGTGCCCAGTTTTCTCGTAAAATACCAGGTTAAATATTGCTTTGAGGTATTTTTAAAGACATGGTTAACATTGAAACCAGTATGATTTGAAAAAGCAGACTATCTGGCCTAAAGAGGGCAGGCTTCATCTTATCAGATTAAGATTCTGGATTCAAGTCCAACATTAATTCCTGCTGACATTTCCAGCTTGCCCTGAAGAGATCGGGCTGTGGATCTCTCCAGTCACATAAGCCAGTTACTTAAAATCTGTCTCCATGTTCGTGTGCATATTCGTGTGTGTGTGTGTGTGTGTGTGTGCCTGTATCCTATGGGTTTCCTTCTCTGGAGAGCCCTGACTAACCCACTCACTCTGCCCCATTCACCTACACTTTTTTAAGTTTCTTCCTAAGATCTTACATTACCAAGAAATATTCTTCTAAATCATTTTATTAATCCAAGCACCATGCTTTAGTTTGTCTTTTGACTTCATAATGATTGATACCTTTATTTCCAGTAAGTAAAAAGTTCATGGTGCTTTCCAATCCAGCTTCCTGTTAATGCACCTGGGAAAGCATTGTAAGACAACCAAATGATTGGGCCCTGCCACCCGTGTGGAAGACTCAGATGGTGTTCTGGGCTCCTGACTTTAGGTTTGACGAGCCCTGGCTGGCAGATGGAAGATATCTCTCTCTTTCTCTTTCTCTCTCTCTCTCTCTCTCTCTCTCATACACACACACACACACACAATGCCTTTACAAATAAATCTTTTTATAAAGCTGGCCATGGGGCTTGTCTCTGGGGTGAAGGAGCAATATGGGGAACGCATCACATCTCCAGCGACACTTATGTGAGCTTTCTTTTCAATTCTGACGAAACATCTGTCCAGTGTATCTCTGTTCATAAGGCTTGCATAAGCTTTCCATCGCAGCCCTTCCTGCTGCCCCTCCCCCTCACCATCATCACCACCATTTGACTACTAGTGAGCTCATAAAAGACAGAAAAGACAAGGCTTCATCCAGAGTTAGATAAAAATTTCATCTACAGTCCAGATTTATTTTAGAACTTTTGAAATATTCTGGACCCTCCCAACCAAGACTAATTTCAGGGAATTGGTTATGAATCTATTTTTGAGACTTCTGGCTAAATTGACCATTTCCATCTAATTTCTTCACCCCTATAACTGTTTCAAAATACAGGGTTGAAAGAGCTGAGGTGGCAATAGGTAGGCTACTCA